CCAAAATCTACACCAAGCTAACGTTCTGTTCATAAAGATTAATGATAAAAAATGTACATACTTATACTTTTGTTTTTTTAATTATCTAATCATTCACTGAAAAAGAATTTTTTAGATCCAAGAAAATATTTATTTGATATAGTACTAATGACATATTTACTTAATATAATCACATATTTATTTAGAATTATATATATTTACTTAAATTAAGTAAAAATATCTAATTCTAAATAAATATATATTATATTAAGTAAATATGTCATTAGTATAATCGATTCAAAAATAATTGAGTTATTTTAAATAATTTCTAATTAATTTACGAGGGAACTGATAAATCGTTTAATTATATAAATTGAGCTATTTATTAGTCGCTACATTTTTCTGCATTTGCGCATTAATAATACTATTTCTAAGTATTTATAATAATGAATTTGAAATATTATACATTTTATTTTGTTAATGTTATTAAAGTTGTCTTTTATATGCATGCATGTATACATGAAAATAAAATTTTTTTCAATTGCGTATTTACATGTGAGCTTTCTTATATTCGCATAATATTAAGCTATGTGTATAGTAATAATTGCCACGTACATAGATAAGAAATGAGTCATGCTTGGAAAATTGCCGTAATTTAGTAGAAACTATTGCAACATGCGCTTATGTTAATTTTTGCAGAAATTGTACTGTAACGGTTTTTAAGATAATATAACTAAGGTCACGGTTGTATTACTTTAATAACCGTTTTGCAATATCCTGATAGCGCGTACGGTATCGCTGACCATTAGCATATTATAATAACAATGTCGATTATCGTAATAACATTGTTCTTGTCGAACTTGAACTGCAAGATAATGCGTGAAGTGCACGTGCAGTGCCATTGAATTGTGTACTTCTATTCTTTTATACATTACTTCAATACACAAAAATGTATAATAAAGAAAAAATATATATATACATGTATGTATAGTATATGTATATATACATATAAAAATTTGTTTCAACTTCTAAAGTTTTACGATATTGATTTTTATATTTAGGTATGTAAAGTTTAGTTAAAGAAATGGATAGGACATAAATATGTATAAATATCCAAAAACAGTATAAATTTTTATTTAATAAATCTTGGATTATCCTGTATTTAGTTTTGTAATATAAACTAATTGTATAATAAGACATTATCGTTTATATATACTTTCTTATGAGATGTATACACACACATATTATCGCTCCAAAAGGGACAAGTGAAATTATCTATCTTCTTATTTCGTTTTAGAATTTTGTTTGTATTTTGATAACAAATTTTAATTTACTTTGTTTAATTTAGTTTTGTATTTAACATTTACGTCGCCAGAATATTCCTCATTACATGCGGCTTTTGTACCGTCAATTTAAACCTTAAATGCCACATTTCTCAAGAATCTCGTAAATGACATGAGGGGTCTAAAAGACCCCAGCATGAAAAATATCTCCTTACTCATTGATTTTTTTATCTTCAGTTATGAAAACTTTTTTCAATGTTTTTCAAGGCTTAGAAAAGAGAATAAAATGCTTATATTGTTAAAATTTCAATTTCAACATACTATAAAAAATTAAGTAAACTGAGTACTGCTAAGTGTACACACGGGTAGGTCAATCACTCAACTATCATCAATAGGAGCATGAGCTCCATTTTTGGCAAGAACATTTGAAAACATTTTATTCTAAAGGGTCTGATGGGGTTCCGCTGGACCCCACGGGGCATTTAAGGGTTAATTAAAAAGAAAGTAAAAGACTAAATTAATAGAAGCTTATTATAATAGCTAATTTAGTTGCCAGTTTTATGCATAAAATCAATCGATGTTGTTAAACACATAGTAAATTCTAATAAATACATTTATTTTCCGGCTAATTAGCCGGATCTGACATTTTTGCTCTATAGATTAAATGTCTATAAAATCTATTACTGTTAAGAATTACATTTTTATTACAATTTAAGATTTTTTAATATGACAAACGTTATTTAGAAGAAAATTATTTTTGATACTTTATGTATAAACGGATATATTGTGACAGATATATGCAGAGGGTTGAGACAGATATATGTTCGGAATTGAGCAATATACGACTAATTGTATATAAGAAAAAAAAGATATGTATTGTATAATGTTATAAGATCATCTTTTTCATGTTTTTTTCAAGCTTTTTTTGTAATGGAATATATGTATACAGAATGTCTCATTTCAAATAAAGACCTCAAATATTTTTTTAACAATATGGCGTTTTATTTTAAAAAATCTTACTTGGGCCCTGCATAGACCCCGGATCCAAAATTTAATAAGATCGTCTGTTGATCCCTTTAAACCCTCCAAATCCCTTTTATCTTAAACATTTTTCTTTAAAATATATTGTTCAAGAGGTATTTGAGGTCGTTATTTAAAACGAAACACTTTGTATATGTTCTTACACTTTCAAGGACATCATTTTCCTCTGATAGGACGATGTAATGATAAAATTATTTGTAATAATAAAAATTTAAAACTGTTATTATATATCAGTGTATACATATTGCTTGTCCAAATACGCTTTCGATAACGGCCGACAACAAAAATACGTACAGGGCTCGCATGGTTGCAGTCTGTCAAGTGATCAATATGACTTAGGAAAATACTAAGTCTACTACTTTTGAATATACTAAGTTTTTGTGAAGTCCATCAATCCTTCAAGTAAAAGCAACTGGCAAATGAAGTAATTCTAAAGGAATATGTTGTTGTGCGTTTGACTTGTTGAGAACTTTCTTATAAAGGAGTGCTATCTTATATAACTCCTGTCTTATAGTATAAAATTACTGTCGTTAAACTTAAAAAAAAAAGTCATTTTTGTTATCTCCAATACATACATACGTATCCTCATACATACGTATATGTTATTGAGAAATTTTATAATTTTACTTTTATTGTATTTTAATAAAAAGTTTTTGTATAATATTAATAATATGCTATTTAATTATTATTTACATTTACATTACGATATTTACAATATGTTATTCGTAAAATGTTTAATTTACGTTTGATTAGTTATTTATTTAAATAATTACGTTAAATATATAGATATCTTTATATGTATATTGAGGAGAACGGGGCTCGGTGGCATTGCGTTCCGTTTATGTATTTATGGCGAAAGAAACAATGGAAAAGTTGTCATAAAATATCTCTTTTATGACATAGGTATTTTCTCCAAAGTTTTATTTAAATCAAATAATTATATTACAATAAATAAACAGAAAATTCTGATTCAAGAGATGGCAAGTAAATTTTCGAGCGTTTCAAAATATCGTATTAATGTTCTTCAGCTTGAGAAGGAAATCAAAGTGACGTATTATTACTTAAAAGAAAAGTTTCTATTACTATACGACATGTTATTTTGAGTAACAACGGTAATTTATTGTAATAAAATGACTAAAATCAAATGTATGTAGGGATGGAGTATGTTGACTTGTATTTTTGTACTCATAAATGTATATACTATGATATAATTTATTTCAATTGCGCATGTTTACACGTGAACTCTCTTATATTCGCCGCATAATATTAAACTATAATAATTGGACATATACATATACATATAATAGGTAAGAAATGAGTCATGTTCAGAAAATTTTCGTAATTTAGCAAAAGCTATATTGCAACATTGTACAGCAATTTTTTCAAAGCGATATAACTAAGGTCACATATTTCGCAACTGTCCTACGACGCAAACAGTTATCTATTCTACGTATAATAATGCCTAAAATGCCGCAATAAGATTGTACTGCCCGACATAAACACAGCCATGCAAATGTGTGAATTGGCACGTGCAGTACCACTGTGTTGTATATTCCTGTTCTTTAAAAATTTATTTTATCGCAGATTAGATGTGACGGACTAAACTGTCCAAGAAATAAGAATAATAGAATTAATTTTTTCCAAGCTATATGCGGTTTATATCCACATATTTTTTGCAGTATAGATATTGTAAAAGTAATTTATTTTAACTTTTTATGTAGGGGAAAGGGGGATAAGATGACAATGTGGATAAGATATATAACGAATTGCTAATTTTTCTAAAATTAATAACAGATAACGGCACGAGTTATTGTATCGTGTATTATATTTTATCCAAATCCAAGGGGGCGAAGTTTGATCATCATCCGCTTGTTAGGTGTTTTGTGTTGTTTATTACCTCTGAATTTTCCATTCAGTGAATATTTTCCACTCAGATGATAATTTATTTTAAGATGGATTTATCTGTACCTTCCATTTGGAACTGTGCTTATAATATTAAGTTAATTAAAGAGAAGGTAGAAAATTGTATTAATAAAAGTTTATTAGTTGTCAATTTATCAATATTATCCACAAATTTAATTGAGGTTGTTATAAATATAAATAGAAAACCTTTTTAGAGATTCGCGCAAACATCTAACTTTCTTAACCTTTCGAGGCCACATGGGATGGCAGCCACCAAAAATTCAGGAGCCGATATTTTTAAGATAGGCTTTATAATCAGTGTCCCTCCACCCAGGATCTCTATTATAGTTGGGTTCCTTTCTCGAAGATCCGTGCAGTAGAAAGGCTTTAAGCTATGTCAGTTACGTTTGGTAAACATTTGAAAATTATTATAGGGGTAGTGACCACCCCAGTGTGGCCTCGGTGTATATTTCTTATCGCGACGAAAAATTACAATATTTTTATTCATTGAGCACATTTCTTTGTTTCTGTATCATACATATTTTTTAACAACACCCTTAAGATGTTTCATCAATTTTTACGTGCATTAATTAGAATTATGAGACTTCAAATCAGTCTGGCGACAACCCCAGTGTGGCCGGAGCGTATTAAAAAAAGAGGTGTGGTCTCGAAGGGTTAAGCGCGATATACAGACTGGCTTTTATTGAGAGAAGAATGAACGCTAATTAAGAAACATATTTATTACTGTCTTCTTTCGTTTATGTCTTCTGTAATGATTTTACCTTTTGTTTTTTAATTGTCCTATTTAAATAAAATAACGCGCTTAATATGGCTAATAACCAGAATTTTATAGTAATTATATTTGTGACTATACAAACGCTGAACGACAATCGGAAATAATTTTTTCCATTCTTGGCAGCGCGTTGAAATATTCTTGAATTGTTTATCACAATGTTTTCGCTATTTATATTATTAAATAAAGGAATAATATGTATTTCGAATAGTTCGAACAAGTAATATAACATATAAGTTATACAACAATAAAATAAAATAAAAAATAATTAATGAATTTTTCCATATAAAACTTTATTAGTATATGCATCTTGTAAATAATTCGCAGACAAAGGAATACTGTAATATATACGCGATCGCCGGTTTGTATAATCTAATCACGTACAAGGAGCCAGATAATGGACATAATATGTGTATAGCATTCGTAAGTAGACAGAACAAACATCTTCTGCCATAAGGGGCTGAATACGCAATAAATGAGTTTGCTAAATATATTCGAAGGACTTCGTAGTCTTCGATCTTCCTATGTGCATTATTATGCAATAGTCGATTATATAGTCAATTGTAGTCAATAGTCAATTATAGTATTTTAAACGTGGGTTTATAAGTAGTAACGTGCGCTACGGTGAGAGGTCTTAGCCGACGTTGTTTTTCAGCAGTTGGTTAACAGCAGACAACGTTGAAATTGGGATCTAAAAATTAAATTAAAATCGACTCGTCAAAAGCTATATGTAATTTCTTACACAAGTCGCAACACTTGCGAGATATAAATGGGTTAAATGTCTATACAGAAGCGGAAGCATCGACTTACGTTAAAAATATCATCGAACAGGGATCCGCTGGTGTAAGTTTTTCCTGCGGCAACTACACCACCGTCTCCAACTGCGTTGAAGAAAAGTCCGCCGACTACGTCCGAAGGAGAGCTTTGACTATCAGCCGTTACTGTTGGAGCAACGTATACTGTTTTTCTAGGGACGGTCCAGAATCTTTTTCTAAAGTACCAACGTGGATACGCCGGTTTCGGAACGACTACACTCGGATTATTGTCTGGAAGAGAAAGGATTGCTCACGGAATATGTCAAGTGCAAGTGCAGAGAAGCGTAATAATGATTGCTCACCGACTGTTGCAACCGTGTCGACGGTAGCGGTGATTTGGCCTACGCCTTGTGCGGGTGCAGCTGCGGGTGCAGCCGGAACCACGACGGTTTTCACGGCTGGCGCAGCCGGAACCACGACAGTTTTCACGGCTGGCGCTGCCCCAAAGTAAACCGATTTGACCAGGTCCACTTCCGCTGCCGGTGGCATTACTGCGAATTGCACTGCACGTCGTGACTGTCGCAAAAAAGATTTTTCTAATACACAGTAAAAAACAAAACGTAATTTTAACATTTTTTACATGTCCCAGAAAGTCCACTCTAAATTTTAAGTTAAAATGACTCATTTATCATGTGTTAATTGACACTATACTTTACATTTATATTTGTTCTTTTGACTTTATTTTTCAAGTTATATTAACACATGATATTAATTATTTTACAGATTTTACTTAAATTATGTGTAATAAGAACATTTAATTTTAGTAAATTTAATTATTTTGTATGTCAAAGTTTACGATTATTTGAAAATTTACGTTTAACTTTTGTTTATGTGTTAAAATAACTTTAAGACGTGTTGATTTTTTAAAGTAGATGTGTTAAAAGAACCCAAAATAATATTTAATTTCTAAATGACATATATAAAGTGTTAAGTTATCACGTTTACATAAATGTAACACATGAAAATGTTAAGAAAAAAATTTACATTGAAATAATAATCAAATCTTGGTGTGACACAAGGAAATTTTAACATGTGGACCGCTATGTACACACGATTTTTTACTGTGTAGGTTCTCCTTTTTCAAATGTCCGATCAAAATGTTTGCTCGATATACAATCTACTTCTCACCTCCTTGTTTTGCGACTCGGCTTTCTCACCTGCGGTCGCGTCAGCTCGTAGCGTCGCGTCAGCTGCAATCACCTTCTGCGTTCGATAGATTTATTTTAAAGACGGTATCCCGCGAATATATTTGCAAAGATGATTGTGACGGGTTAAAATATATATCCCAAGAATCCGAAGATATAAACTTAAATTTGCTTATATGACTTATCAGAGCGTATAACTACTAAAACTACGACTACTCTACGGAAGATGCGTTAGAAGACTGTCAATGATCTTCCTCGCGTCTCTCAATTTCTCGTTTACGTATCGTATTTGAGACCTAGAAAATCAAAATGCTGTATCCCATATCGTAATACAGAATATAAATCTGAGCTATGAAATTGCGATCGAAACCTCTTTCTCCTTCTGCGCCCTCGAACGTATGATTTGTATGTTCGTGCGGCCCTTTGACGGCTTCGTTCCGATCGCAGCATCCGCGCTCGCTGACGTGGTTGCCGTTGTTCCGGTAGCAGCCGCCGCAGCTGCAGCACCCGCAGGCGGATTCAAACCAGCTTCGTTAGGCATGCTGCCACTTATAATCCCATTGAATCCAGGTTGGTCGAGTCCTCCGCCGAGAAACACGCCCGGTCCTGGACCGCCGCCTGGTGTTGCCCCTGCGTACAAGCCACCCGCAATCGGGTTCGCCGACCGTCCATTGCCACCCAGTCGTCCGCCGAGGCCAGCCGCCGCGTCTGGTCCTCCATTGCCGAGTCCAGCGCGAGCATAAAGACCGCCGCCTGAAGTAATTTTTGCTTCTATTTTTGTGGTCTTATTTGATGTTTGCTTAATATTTTTATTTTTTATGCGGAAGTACTGAAATTGTTGGATTGATGCTAAAGCTTTTGTTAAAGTTTTAGGATTTAAGTAAATATATATAGACAATTCTTGATTCTTTGAGAACATTTTGACAATATATATTTGTACCTTAGAGGTAAAGAATCGTACCTCTATGTTTTTGTCAAAATAGAGTTTAATACATTTTTCAATACAACAAGAGCTTAAATTGTATAATGGTAAAGTGTCTTATGTCTATTATTATCAGTTCCTAAGACAATGTTTAGAAAAACTTAATAAATCAAGTTGCTACTTTTATTTTATATCTAAAAAAAATATATCATTTTCCCACTTAAAATTTTAACCGTTGTTTTCTCTGAATCCATAATAAAGGGGATATGATTCTTTCTCTTTACTAAAGTACAGATATGTATATATCTTTCTTACTTTTGCGAATACTTACCAAGACTGCCCTCTTGCCCTAACTGACCGCCTAATCCCGCGCTAGCGTGTGCGCCCCATGGAGTTCCTGCACTCGCATGAAGTCCACCACCCATGCCTCGTAGAAGACCGCCGAGTCCAGCTTCAGCATGATATCCTCCAAAGTTTACTCGGATTCCTCCGTTAGTAAATTGGAGAAATGGAGGCTGCATAAAATAAAAGTCGAAAATTAAATTTATATATTTATCAAAACTGAAACTTGACATTAGCAAAAGCGAGATCACGTTACATAAATAGAATTAAGCTTCTTGCGAGTTCGCATGAGAGTTTCTTCAATCTTATCTCTGTTCTTGTACGTTCCATATCTAGATTAAAGGTGACAATGCAATTCCAGTTATATTCCCGTCTCTTCTCTACTGCAAGATATAAAAGCCTGACTCTTTCCGAGAGTGTGCACGCGAGTTTCATCAATTGCAGACGTTCCGGATAATTTCGAGACTAGTGACCGTGACCGTTGCGCGATTCAACAATTTCCCTTAATTATTATTATCTTTTTACGCTGGATATTGTGCAAACAGACTCCCGAAACTGATCCTACGCAAGTTTCGGCGGCCCCAAACGAAAATTTGCTGCCTCGACATTGAGATTCGTGAAGCGTACATTAACCGAATTTACATTCACTTTCGACGTTGTAAAGATTATTTCAAGGTGGGCGAGGTATGTTAAAAACGTATAATAACGCGCGATAACAAACGGATATCAGACTCCTTTCCGAGTAGCGTGGAATGTTTTTAATGCCTGTGGTGATATTATCAGACAAAAAATTATATTCTCAGCACGCTGAAGATTTATGATAAGCGAAATAATTATACTTGAACTCTGTACTTCCTTTACATTTATTCCCATATTGTTAGCGATGTAAACTACATATTACACAAAGCTTGCGGTCTGTATAAGTTATCTCGATTTTTGCCTTTCAATCTTATGAATAAAGAACGCAATTCTGTTTGCTTCCGTAGTATTTTTTACAAGTAGTTTTAATCGACTTGACGTATTCTTTTCGTTTTAATAACTAATTGCGATTGTTTTATAGGTTTTTGGGACAATGTTTCCGTTGTTGTATGGCAATCGGCTAATTAAACAACATAACAAATAAGTTTTATGCAATCTTTTTATCGTTTCCGCGATCCTTTCTCTCTACAAGAGAGTCCGATTATCTAACCAGCTTGAGGTGTAACGTTTCCCCTTGAAGGAACTGACTAACATGGAATCGGTTCTTCTGGAACAAGGCATCAATCCGTTTTTTTTGCAAGTGTAATAACTGTTCGTGATGACGTAAACGACACAGTGAATACGCAGAATCGAGATCACGCTTGCAATTATCGGTTCGTAATTATAATAAGTCGATTGATTCAGAATGTACCTAGTATTGATATGCGTCATGATATAGGTGTTTCGCACAAACATATGACATTGTAAAATTATCATTACTTTGCACTGAACACATGAAAATATTTATGTTAATTGAACATTGAGTAGATCGTTATTTATGATTTTTGAAATGTGGTGTTTCATCTCTTGTCCATTAATAACGCGTGCATATTTTACGTAATTGACTGGTTCGGATGCAGGGAATATATGCTCACATTTAGTTTCTCGTTTCATCATCAGTGGAAAGAAACGCGTAATAATGCCTTTCTCGTCCCATTCTATATGTTGCTCTAGCATTTTCGTAACACAGTTTTTCATATAATTTCGCAATCGTGAGCGCCAAATCGCACTTTGATTTAGCTCCTTGTACTGTTTTATTTTCAGACAAAGGTGATTTAACTTTAATTTAGCTTTATACTTTAACATAAGATAATATAAACTTATACATATATCTTAGTATAAGATAAACTTGATTTAGCGTTTCAATATAATATTTTTGTATAAGATGAATAATACGTTATTTTAATAAATAATAATATTTGTGCATTAACATTGTTAATAAATTATATTATAAGTTACTCTCTTCAATAGATGAGACTTTAATAGATGAGAAGTCAATTCTTATATATTAGAGAAAGTTAATAAACTACGTAAATGGTAACAACAACGATGTAACGGAACAAAAACGTTCTACTCACTGAATCGGGCTTTTCTTGAGCTGTATCATCCTTCTGTGGCATTCCATTTACCAAAGTTATAAAAATGATAAGTAAGTAGTTGGCTACCACACGGAACGACATCTTCAGGTTTACTGACGGAGGATCGAGACCGGTAGGTAGGTAGGCAGTGATTTCTCAGTCTCACCGGAGAATATTTCTTAGTCACCTGTTACTGGAAGGGATAAGCACGACGAGATCCGCATTCGTTCGGTGAACTGCGGATTCACATACGGTACAATAATATAAAAATGGCACAAAGTTCAAATAATTTATTCCGTTAACGTTTAAGATGACTAATGTAACGTGAACGTTCAAAATGAATAATGTAATGAGTTTTTTTATATAAGTAAATTAATTCAAGTTTGGAGGAAATAGTTGTTTGAACAAATATTCTTGTGTATCCAGGATAGAAGATATTGTTTGACATTAAAAGAGTATAGTTTTATTTCAAAATATTTTTTCTTTCTCGTCATTTTTACATTGAAACTTTCAGGCGTCCGCTTATCATTCAAGAATGTTTTAATTACGTTCTACATTTAGAACGTAATTTATGAAGGTTTGTTTTATGGTATATTTCGTTTTTATACCTTAGTTTGTTTTATCGTACGTTTCGTTTTTATACCTGAGAAAATGTACTTTTATCATTGTTTGAATACGATACCGGAAATTAGAGTCGCTATTACGATGCAGAACTTAAGCAAACGTTTTAATCTATTAAATCGTATTAAAATCAACGACAATGAAAACGGTTATTTATTTTCGACAGTCTTCGCACATTGTAACTTGAATTGGCTGTATTAATACTAACAGTAATTAACACTAACAGTATATCAAATAGAAAATTAACAGTATAATAAACATTAGAATAGCGAAAATAAAATCAAAACATTTTAACAAATTTAACATCAAACTTTATTAGGTGGAACGTTTAGTTGGAAGAATTATTTGTAATTAGATTTATTTTAATCTCTGGTTAAAATAGTATAATGTTCAGTCAAACATACATACAAAAATTCTTCTCTTTATTGACAAAATATTTTGTTTAAATACAAATATGTTTATATGATATTTGTATAGTATAATAATGCGTATTAATTTTATGATTTATTTAAATTTTAATTGTTTGAGTGATTTAAATATTATATTTAAAATTTAATTGTTTTTATTAATAATTTTGATATTAAATTTTTATATATAATACAATTTATATAAAATAAATATTTAAACAATAAAAATGTTGCATTAAATTGCATTTAAAGATAAAGTAATTCTTATATGCATTTTATACATTGTATTTTATTAAATACTGTTGTTGTAATAATTAAAATACATTCATGTAAACTGCTATATTTTTATAAACATGAAATTTGCTATACCGTATATATTTAAAAGACACAGTTAAACAATAAAATAAATGTAGAAGAAATCACGCATGACTCCAGCGACGTTCATAAACACGTGCGACACACGAGTCTTGCATTACGACGCAGAAATAGAGTGAGTGGTCGAAGGTCAAGGATCGATTTTCCATGTTGCGTATGAGTATATTCCACGCTAAGTCGTATTTATATCAATTAGGATTTCTAATGAGGCATTGTTTTATCGCGACGGTGGAGTAAAGTTGAGATGGCGTTAGTGTCTGTACACTGAATACGTTATGTGTACATATCATTCAAGTTCATTCGCGTTTATCTCAAAGACTCTCGAAAAATTCTTGCAATCGATTAGCAGAAATTATAATAGAGTTTTTTGCACCTTTTTTTCGCTGCATTCATATGAAAACCGCCATCCGAATTGTTAAACAAGGTAAGCTTTATACATTTGTGATATTACATATGAGTCACCGGTCACAATCACTTTACAAATAATTAAGTTATTTGGTATACAATTTATACTGTAAAGAATCAATATCTATTAATCTCTTGATATTAAAAAAATAAAGACCTGTTTTTTTTACCAGTAGGCGCACTAAATATTATCTATAGAGACCTAATTTTTATAGAAAATTAGTAAATTTTTTTAAAAATTTATAATACACACATTTTATGATTTATAAATTTAAAACAAACATTAAAACAAAAGGTATGAAGACTATAGTTAAAAATATAAAAAAAATTTATAGATATAATGTACAAACAGGTCGTAATTTTTATATTTTAAGCTTGAAAAAACAATTACTTATGACTACACAATGTTACTTTGATAATGATATATTATTATTTTAACTATATGTATAAAATATTCGCTATGTTAATTTAATAACTTTAATTAAGTACATTGTTTTAGAGATTTTTATAGTAAGGATGAGTACTACAAAAAAATATGCAGAGTGACGCAAAATTGGCGAGTATTTATAATCAAGAATAAACATCTAATATTATTTCATTATTGCATATTTACATCATTACTGCACAAATGCCACTCTCCCATTTCTCGGAGCGATTTTATTTTCTAACGGAGGATCATCGTATTCGCGCATCGGCTTATTTCTAATATTCGCGATTTTATTCTGCGGATTCACGTCATCGCTCGGATACTTGGAAACTTTCTGCCTCTTCTCCTTAGGAGCGATTTTATTCTCGACTTTGACAGAGGCGCTAGAAGGCCGTCGTATTCCATTGAAACTGCCGAATCCAGCGGTCAGACCGTGCCAGGAGAAAGATGAGTCTTCGTTAACGTCCTCATGGACCTCGTAGTTATGTTGCGGGCGATTTCCCAAAAATCCTCCTTTGGCAAACAATACGCACAAACAATACGTTTAATTCTATTTACTACACTATTAACATTTACATTCACATTTTATATTACTTATCTATCTGTATTAAGAGTATCCTAATCGATATCTTTCAGAAATAATATACTCTTTTCTTAAAAACGTGTCAGAGAAAATAGTCACCATGAATTCCATGACCGTGAAGACCATGACCAATCTTATGGCCTCTCTTATGACCGTGAAGTCCATGGATGCCACCCAATCCAGAATGATGTCCGAGAAGTCCACCAGCGTGTCCACCAACGAGAAGATCGCTCAATGCATTTAATCCAAGCGGGTCATTGTAATGATGTCTGACAGGTCTCTTCAATTGCTGCTGCAGCAATCGCTGGTTTTGAATTTCATCTTTTCGCTTTCTTTTCTGCTCCTTTATAGCCAAGATCCATTCTCTCTTCGCTTGATTATTTTCCAAATTTTGTTGCCGCTGCTCCCTTGCAGTTTTCACGAGTGTGCCAACAGCTTCTAGAGTTGAGACGGGGATCTGTAAATAATTTTCTTGATTATAGAAAATAATTAAGTACACTTTGAATATAAATACGAAAAAATTAATATATACATGACCTTAAAAATATTGTCTATTGCCTGCATATTTTCTGGCGAAATAACTTGAGCGGCGGAGGCGGTTTGTTTGATTGCTGTGATCGGAATCTGCAAGATAAAAAATCTATTTCTAAAACAAACGCTTAATTCGATAACAGCGAATATTTCGTCCTTTCTTCAATTTTAAAATTTATCAAATTGTACTTCTAATAAAGGTATTTTATACTTTATTGTTTAATTGAATATTTAATTGGTTAGTCAGTGTATATTTATTAAATAAAAAGACCTTGCTACGATGCTTACGTTAAAAATGCCATCTATCAGCTGACCACTTGATGCGGATGTAGCTTGACGTTGTATTCTGCTGTTCGAAACGCCCTAAAATACATATAGAAAAAGCTAATTTCTCTTCCTTATGCGACAACAAAAAAGTACTTTGGACAAGTTGTCTCTCATGTTCTTTGCCTATAAGGTATGCATCTGCGATAGCGAGTTAAGCGTGGGTCGTACTTATCGTATGTATGTTAATATTTCATGGAAGAAATTTCAGTGCAGTCTGCACGTAGTTTTCACTTGGGTATATAGGTCCACACGTTACACGCACTAATACGGGTCCAATATCTAGTGTTTATCGCAGCTTTCACTTTATGCGAATTAAAAATGTTGAATAATCTTCGCCAATTATTGGAAAGGTTAATTCGATGTTACCGCGATTCTCTTCGCTCAGTTCTTAAGAGCGAGATAAACTATAATCTATTAAAACACTAGAACACTTTGTTGTAGAAGCTTTTATACAAAGTAATTTTGAATTTTGAATTTTAAATTTTAAATTAAAAATTAAAAATTGTATATTTTAAATTTTGATATAATAGTAGGCTCACACACACACAAGATTAGAAATCAATCGAAGAAAAATGGAGCGTTGAGCCGTAACAAGGTGTTGGTGTTCAAATGTTCTATATTTAAGTAAAGAAGTAACGAATTGTAATGTACATATTGTACATATACATAAATTACAACTTAATAGACTGCGCGCCGATTATTTGTCGGACTTGAAATACAGCTATCTTGGAACATTAATACCCTTCTCTCCTCGGAATTAAATCGACACGATTTAATTATTTTAAAAACTGTAAAGAATTTATTGCAAAAAATTTGTTACTTCTTTACTTAAGTATAAAATATATGAACACCAACACCTTGTTACGGCTCAACGCTCCATTTTTCTTCGTTTAAATTTTGAATTTTGAATTTTAAATCTTAAAAATAAGCAGAAATTGTAATAATAATATCAAGAGCAATTATAATTCTCGAAATAATATTGGCATTTTAGTGATTATCAAGCAGTGTTATACGGAGAGTTAAATCCTCTATGTTAAAGGAGGTATTAAGTTTGTCATTTCTAATCTTCAAAAACTACACTACATAGCTTAAACTTTAAAATCTTTGGCATTTAAATTTAATTTTCCTTTACTTTATTTATAGTATATTTTATTAACTTACGCCATACGTGTCGCTTAGAAGAAAAAGAAAGCTCAAAAAACCGTAGCACCAAAACATCCTTCCGACACTCCGCGAAGCAGATCGCGTGCTTGTGGCTGGCTCCTGCGAGTTTTAACGCAGATCGACGCAGGTACGATTGGATCGTGGATCCGCTTCGTCGATCTATAAGGGCTGCCACGGGATCCCACACGAATCGTCGACCAATCCGGTCTTAAGAACTTGCGGATTCGCGCCGATTTCCTCGGACGAAGAAGGTGCTTTCTACTTATCGCAATCCTGCCACACCAGTCGCGTGATCTCCGGATCATTTCGTCTTCTTTCACACCGACCGATTATTCGAATAAATTATCTGCTCCTTTTTCTTTATCTCACACTCACGAAACTTTTCGGCGTGGGTTAAGAGTCGTAAACGGTTGTGTAAGTCGATAATGTCGGGGATATGAAACGATGAACATTCACCCATGATGTAATCGCTCTCAGAGCGCTCGGGCCTTTCAGTCCTAATTTCGGCAGTTCTATTCGACGTTGTAATTTGGTGAATAGGTCACTTTGAAAAGACTTGAAAACACCCGAGCCGAAAGTAGCAGAAATTGCTTTGTCATTATTGTTACCTTGACACATTCAACATCAATTTGTGGAAGAATCATTTAATAATTTAATTTAAACGACAATGTAGAAATGAAGAAATATTGTGTGTGCATCTTATCTACTTATTATATCTAATGAATGCATTTAGAATGAAATGTGCAATAAATTTTAATGAAGAGAAACATAAATATCTTTGCATAAATCTATTTTTTCTACTTGAAAACTAAGCTATTGTATAAATATTAAATGCAGATATTATTAAAAATTAAAATACTATTTTCAGAGGCTGATAAAACTCTTTAGCTAAATTAAAAAATTTAGCCTTATTATAAATAGATCACTATATTATACACAGTTTGGAACTTTTTGGCCTTAACGTTTACTTCACCATCTATTTAATTCTTCTTCGCTGTCTTCGTTACGTTTAAAAAGCGTTTGGGTTATCCTGCAGAAAACTGCCTACTTGATTCCCTAGATCCTTTTGAAATTCTCTTACATTTACGTCTGATTGCTGAAAGATTAATTTATTGAGACTATAATAAAGATTACTAAACAATTAATAGTTCGATAAGATATGTCGAAAGGAAAATAATGAAAGAAACGAATATAGTGAAGACTCACATTCAGGGCATCCTGCCATTCGATATTGAAGAGCCTTACTAAACCACGCAAATTTCTTCTAATCAAATTTTGCAAGTTGGTTGGCGTGAGTCTGAAAGGTGCCTGCGTGGTCGAAGTTGTCGTCGTTGCGTTAACACCTGCCACGTCGCTGGACGTGTTACCTTGATCAATCGACGGTGCGATTGTTGTTGTCGCATCGGCAGCTATCAACGGATGACTACTGACTGGCCGTAGTGTAGTCGGATCCGGTTCGATGCTCTGATTAATGATATTACTAATTTGTTGGATCGCCGATCGCGTATCGTTGTACGTCTGAAATGAAACGGAACATCAGTCGACCGCAGAGAAACTTTCACTTTCTCTTACGGCTTAAAGCTCGAGATAAGAATATCTGTTTTCAATATTTTGTTAATTAATAAAAAAAAATAAAATTAGTTGTCTGTTAAAAAAAAATCGCTCGCTATATCGCAGATATTCTGTAGATATTGTTAAGATTCTGACAGGTATATAATTTAACAACGCTTATAATTAAGTTTCGCAATTAATATATGTCACAAAATATATATCGCATCTTTAGAAGAACACTGTCACAATTTTCAGGAGAGAGAAAAAACAAATTTAATTCAATTTTTTGAATTGTGAGATAGCTAACGCAATTGCAATTACGATATTTTGCTATAATGAAACTTATACTCTTTCTTGAAAAGGTCTGGTGTGATTTGTCAATTTATTTATGACACTATTAAACCAGCGACCGCAACATAACCGGTTTAAAAGAATAACGACACTTCTATCCCGTGTAGCGGATTTCGCATGTGACTTGTGACATACACTATTGGGTGATTTTCATTTAGCGACACAAGTCGACGCAAGCGTTATTCTGTCTTTTTTCAACATCTAGTGAACAACAAAGATAGAGTGACGACTTGTGTCGACTTGTGTCGTTAACTGGAAAGCACTCATTATAGCACGTATAGGTAACATTTTAGACATACTTTTTATATATAGGCCTGACTCAAAATCGAAATTTTTTAGTTGTTACAGTACGCTTCTAAAAGTGCGATATACCTATATATAGATATACTTCATATATATATAATGTATTATATATATACGTATATATATTTTTTTACCTCAAAAGTAAGTCTTGCCAGGGTCCAGAAGAATCCCGGCCGACGCCTGCGAACTTGCCTGACAACTCTTTTCGTCTCTTCAGAGATGTTCATTTCCGCGATGATTCCATCTTCAACTGTGTTCTTTTCAATCTTTTCGATGTCATTCTCCTCGGACAACATTTTGTCTAACATGTTCATTTTCTTCATAATTTCTTCGTCTATTTCTCGAGTCTTTTCGCGCTCTAATCGCGCAGCGCTTTCTTCTTTAGAAGTCCCTCGATTTTCAGCAGACTGAGAATAATAATATGATCTGTATACTTCTCCTAGCTGGTTTTCCGGCATGGATCTTGCCGCATTTAGTTTCACATTGCCTTCCGAATGACGCTCCTTCAAAGGTATTCGAGACTGCACTGAATTATACTTAGGATGATAAACGTTGTACTGTGGAGGTTTTGGGATATTAGAATGAAACTGTTCTTCCAAAGAAACTGGTTCTGGTTGTGTTGGTCGAAATTGGTAATACACGGGGTCAATTTCGTAAGAAACCCAATCTGACCTTTCAGCTCCGCTATAAAATGGGATGATCAAGCAGAGGAGCAGCCATCTGGCTGCAAAGGAATTGATCGATGATATGGCCATCTGCAAGAAAGAAAATATTCGTGAGATTAAGAATACATATTAGAGGAAACTAACAGGGAAAACAAATTATTGACGAAGAAATTAAGATGTTTAAATTTGTAAAAGAAAATCTTCAGAAAACTGTCTATTATAGAAATATTTGCAAAAATAGAGGATAGTTGTTCAATTACACATTTGTCGAACGTTAATATAATGTAATAAAAATAAGTTATTACGTATATTAAATATTACGTATAAAGAATATTTCATAACAGACATGAAGTTCTAAAACTGCATTTCACGGGACCGAAGAAACATCACGCAGTGAGAGTTGAACGATGACTGTGATGCACGAAAAAGAACCTGCAGTTATTACGTAAATCGACTGTCATCATTTAGAGAAATAAGGAAAGGAAAGGTTCGTCGAAGGAAAACCACAACAGGAAAATTGTAAATTATAATTTGAGGAACGAAACGCTTGTAACTGCTACGATCCATTACTCACTAAATTAATTATGTAACTTGTCATATTTTTGGGAAAAAAAACGTACCTCGATCAGTACTTACAATTTGGTTTAAAAAAAACGTTTAATTTTTAATTTGTAAATAAGGATTTCTTCTGGCTGTCCGTAATTTATTAAGTAATTTATTAAAATAATCTGTCTTCAAGCAATAAATTTATACTTGTTGACTTACATTGACAGCAATGGCTTCTAAATCCAGACACACGTTCTAAAATGTTTCTTCTCTTCGAGCGCACGTACATTTCTTCAATAACTATTCAATCACTCAGCATTCTACCTTCTTCGACACTCATAAGCTGACTGCTTTAAAGTGCCTCTTGAAACGATATTAATTTCAAATCTTTACGCAAGAGAGTCTCGATTCCGAAACCTTTTCCGCTGGATAATCTATGCGTCACTCATGGTTTGCGGCAACAAAACGGCAGTTTCTATCGTTCCTTCACGCACGATCGTTCGGAAAATTGCTTCCCTTCGACCTAACACGGCGATCGCGATGTACAACTGTTAGCTGGTCGATGGCCCTCGGCGTTGATCGAACCTGACTACCGGACAATACCGGCGATTCGCTTCCGCGAGGATCGTTCGAAGATTTCGACGATCCATTTCGAACCTCTTCGTAGTACGTGACATGAACGCGTAACGCGTGCACCGAATTAATGGTGGGCCAACTTGGCTGTGGTGAAACAATGAAGCCCGATGAATATCCGATGATGTTTTAACGCTGTCGAAAATTCGGGACTTCTAGCGTTTCACTTTATAGATGATCGATGTTTTATTGACAGCAGGAAATTGCTAAACGCATATGAGATATTCGCGAAAAATTATTAGTTAATTATTTTAGGTTTCAGGTATTGCGAGCCACTCATAAGAAAATTACTTGTGCGAATCTTGTAGCTATGTAATGTTTAATATTCATTAGCGACGACGCGGTTATTGAATAATATTAATCGAGCGTCCACGGTGACTGATTACGTCGCGGTAATTTTTGAAGCGATTCTGGTGCTGCAGTATCTTGAACACTGCACATGCCATATACACACAGACCCAAGTAAACTTTGTAAGACTTTCTACTTCCATGAAGTATAATATATCGCACGAAGATTTCTATCGATTGCGAAAATGCAAGCGTACGTGAAACGATTTAAGTGGATCACTTATATCGTGCTCGGCCAGCCGCCTTATTGGGCACAATCGGGTTTTAACGAACCACGTGTACTATTTTTAGATGCGACAAATTTCACCTTCTCTGCATTCCACGATCTTCTTTGTATGAAGGAACGACGTAGAGAAACTAAGGGGGGAACATGAATTTTATTATCTAAGAAAACCAAGATTTTAAAATTGATTAGAAATACATGGTGTTCCAGAATTTGCAGTCTTAACTTTGACATTCCCAATATATAATTGTAACACCAAACTTTATCAAACAAAAATTTTTATTGAAAGTTTACCGGAGATTAACAAAGAAAGATGATTGTTAGTATCTTCGTGAAGATTTGCTTGCAAAAAGTTCTCAAAAGTAATTTATGCATATTGACACTTTAACCAAAGAAAAACTGTTGCAAACTTACAAAATCTATAATTAAAATTAAAATCACGAACTGCGGAACTTGTTGCACGTTGACACTGATTCAATTTTTTGTCTGGCACCTAAAGATTGACAAATCGGTGGATATATTCCTTTTTTATCACAGTAGCACGATATTAGGACACTAAAATCTGTCACGATAAATGATTACACGCCATCCTGTCCGGAGATCAGTAACCGCGATACTTAGCCGTCCTTGCCTTCGAAAACCTGCCTGAGGTTCAGGTCCACGTGGACTACAGTGCGAAACGACTTCCATCTTTCACTTTCACTCTTCGTAATCACACACGTAATCGAGATCGGTTCCGTTATACGTGCCAGTATGTATTTTTTATGGTAATGGTATGAGTTTAAGGAAAGATTAGGTAAGCAATGCATCATTGTCATGATGTACAATCTCTTCCTTTATCGTTTCTTTTACAAGCATTAATTGTCAAAAAATATTAAATAAATTAACTCTTTATACTTTAACATTTAACATTACATATCTTAACAATTGAGAAATAAAGAGATATATTCAAGTAAGTTAAAATTAAAAAAAATATATATCTTTTAGTACAATGTATCGATAAAAATTGCGTATGCCACGTGATTGCATTCTTACAGTAATTTTTTTTTTACATTTAGGCCGGTTTCGTTGATATGTCATTAAATTTTCGTGACACGCTCTGATTACTAGGTTCACTTATCGTTAATTAACTCGCTGCAAATGGCGTGCGTATAAATGACACAAGTTTGTTTGCACTGAAACGTTCCTTCGCTATCCAAATAATAAATCCAAATTACATAAAATAATGATAATGAACTTTTGCAAAATTTTCTTTTGCATAACATAGAGGAAAAATGTTGTAAAAATCGCGAAAAATGTTAAACATGTTATTTATATTTAGCAATTGACAAAATATACTGTGCAACGCAGTGAGAAAATAATTGTACTCGAGCGTCAGATCTTTTCGCTATAAATTTGTTCGGTTTGACACGAAATTCAATTTGAAAACGTATAGATGGAATTGCACGTGGTTACGTACACGTAACTGTACATACATCTCTTTTCGTACGTTTGGCTTATGTAAGAAAATGTCAGTACTTCCCTGGTATGTGTCTATGTCAATACTTATCTATCGCTTTGCGTGTCTATGCATGCCTCTACTTATTTACCGTCTGTATTTGTAGCGCAATTGTGATCTAATGCGGAACAAGACAAGACGAAGACTTGGTAATTGTTTGCTGTGAAATAATTTCTATTTCCTTGTTACATGCTTAACAATTAAATAATTATTTGCAATATAAAAAGATTTCCTTGAGAGTCGTCCGTATTATACCGTATATCGAGTGCTGCTTAAAGTTACAACTTAAAATAACGAATTTAAAATTAGGCAAGTAAAATGGCAAGTTACTGATCGCGGTGGAAAAAAAAATAACCTTATAAGATAAATTATTACAGCTAATTAAAATTAATGACAATATACAGACGAGATGTGAAGATACCGTCTTGATAAATTGCTACATTGTAAGTTACAGTCGCGTGTAAGCTGCGCCTACGTGTTAAAGACCTCTCTATAAAAACTTGGCCTTGACCGGACGGTCATTAGCTTATAATTGGACGTAGTTCTGCAATGCGGAACCAAGTCCAAAACCGTACTTTTTCGCTAGTGCAAATTTCGCGAAACATTGGAAATAAAATTCTGCGCCAACAATATCTTAAATATAATAATTGAACTATAGTCCTTATCGAATACAATTCTATTTGTTACATGCGTTTTTTTATGTTACGTTTTCTTTTCACGTGTTATATGTGTTTTTAAAAATATGTTTTATGCAGTTGGCAGGTTGGTTCTTGTGTCTCCAGGGGACAGCACGTTACAGATAAGAGTTGGATTAATTATTTTTGCATAATGTACAACAGGCCTTTACGCTCATTTTGCAATACAGAATTAAACATTGAAAATGGCGTTTGATTCCTTATTAGCATAAAATTGTATTTTATTGAAGATTGTAATTAGTAGACAAATAGAATTTTGAAATATTTCACATAATGCAATCCAGGTAGAACATAAAATTACAATAAAGTCAAAATGACGTCAAGATAATAGTAAAATAATCAGAAAGGTAAAATGATCAGAAATCGTCATTTTGTCGTCATTTTAACATCATTTTGACTTTATTGTGACTTGCTTATTGTGACTATTGTTCTACCTGGGAAGATTCAAGATTTCACATTTAAAACGCAGGAGGAAAAGAATTTTGATTTGCAATTTAAAATTAGAATTTAGCAACACTGTCGTAAAAAAAATACTATTTTTCTATAATAATCACAAAAAATTATTATTATATTTAAAATTGACTGATAAGTATTTTAAATTCGAAGAAGACTCGTCTGAAATTTTTTACCTGTAGACTCTTTAACTCAGTTTTTACTTCATGTTTATCTTGAAATAAAATCTGTCTTTGATGCTTATAAAAACTTATATAAGACAGTCTGCAAAACTATTATTATGTTACGTTGTATTATTACAATAATTATTCTCTTCTACATATGTCGGCACAATTATTGCAATATAATGGTGTCATTTGAGCAAATTATTCGATAATATCACTGTTTGATCGAACATTGTTCTCACTCATGAAATCGTCGTTAAAAAATGATTAGATACTAATATATTTCCTAGTAAACTTACATTTTTGTTTGTAAAAAGCAAACCTTAGAGATGCAAACTTCACGACATCACTACGTCAATCGTTAACTGATTGCTCACGTTTCTTACCCGTACCCATGTCGCACAGAAATGCAAAATATAAAAAAAGCATAACGTGCAATTTGTTCACACGCAAGCGCGGCACTTATATATTGCGTGATAAGTATATTAGACAATTTGTTTTATCGGTCTTATGTATTTTATTTGACGAATATGAAGCAATATTTCCGTTTGGAAACAGGCATGAAAAGGAAAAAAAAAGGAAAAACATTCGTCGACATTAATAAATCATAAGCCGGTGTGGCTAATTCCGGTTTCATAATTTTTGATACAGAAACAGTCACTTTGCAGCTCGGAAAATTTTATAGAAAAGCGTAATTCGTACTGAATAAAAATTGTATCTTGAATTATAATTTAAATGCAATAATGCAATTTACAATTCGATATTCGGTGCAAAAAGAAGATATAATATATTTATGAATATAATTAAACCTATCTTACCTTTTTGTTGAGCAGATATTATCTTTCTTAGGAGATTGTTAGTGCTTTCGTGCTATTATTATATCACACCGATGTATGTTTATGTCACACGTTCTTTCTCGTGTCATCTACGCTAAGCGCAGTAGATGAAGTGAAAAGTGCATCTTGCCGGACGACGGAGCCAACACTACTGAGATGATTTCTCTCCGTCTCTCGATACCTCGAATCGGTCTCGAAGGTCGTCAACATTTTTCCTCATATGTCTTACGTATGCTCCGTGTAAACGGAACAAATTAACGAAATTCTTCAGCGGTTCCGCTATTGCACAAACAAAATGTCGCAGAGAGCGTTCGGTAGAAGGAGCGACGTTCAACTTTCAGCGTTGTCATTTTGATAATTAGAAAATTATCGTAATTAAATAATTACAATTAAATAACATCTGTGAATATTCGATTATCAAATTTTCTAAATATATGTTTAGGGTCTTTATATATTTACATTTTTTTTAAATTTATATCATAATTAACAATTCTTTACGTTTTTAATTCAATGTTATACAATTATTACTATTTATAAAATAATTATATATTATAATACTTATTTATGTCGTATTTTAATTTTGCTAAAATATTATGCGCTATATTTTTGTTATCTAGAATAGCGCTTATGTATGAGATGCAAATAATACGTCAGAGTTACACGAGTTGCAACAACAAATTAAGATTCTGAGGAAGTTCTCCTAATTCTTGTTTATTTTATGTTTTATTTTATGTTTTATTTGTCACGATTATTCAGAATATAAATATTTGTATAATAGTTGTTGTATAAATAAAATTCATGAGAATTAAAAGATATTAAATGTGAAATATATGACATATACCATTTTCGTGCGGCACGTGTTACGTAAATTACGTATGCGTTGCGTTGATTATTTATTTAAATTGCATGGATTATTTAAATGCGTCGCGCTATCGTCGCTTGTTTGTTAAAATCCTTGAATCTTTTTACCTACGTTCCTTCTTCATCGTGGCATATGTCGCAATTTTTTCTCGAACTTTGCACGCCACGGTTTATTTTCGCACTATGCTATACGTCCTCATTAATTTCCTCGTCAAAAGGATATAATCCTGCAACAGGTCGCCGATCTAAGAATTACGCAAAATGCTTTTGCCTTTAGTCTGATGTCGCCACATAGATTGCATGTAAATAACAAATAATATACAATCGAATAAGATACAAGCCATTTTCGGTCTAAGCTTAGATCTTAGGCAGCTCAATATTAAAATTTGATTGTGTATCATAGCGGCATAGTTTTGTTTTTTTTTATTAAATAAATATTAAATAATATAACTATATGAAAGTTTAAAGGAATATTCATCAAACGCAGGCTTTTTCTAATTTCATTATTTAATTTTATTAATGCGTATCTAGTAATTAACTTCTAGTACATCACAACAACAAAGAACAAATAATATTTCAATTAACACATGTTTCGGTAACTTAATTTAAAGAAATAAATGTTTTATTTCGTCGATAATAGTATATCATTATTGCTTAACATACACGAGGACTTTGTTTTGCAAAGCGTTACATCTACTTCAAGTGTCCTCGTTATGTGAATGGCAAAATGTTACATGGTCGCGTTGTCGTTGTCACTAGATGCGAGATGCGACCCTCTGACCACTTGATCTTGTATGATACGCGCGGTTGTCTAGGTAAATCATTAAGTATTATGACATACACGTTATTAATGCGAAATTTTTATGCGATCTGCTTGTTGCGTAATAAACTATTAGCATTATAAATAGTAGTATAAAATATTAATAAATAAGAAGTTGCCTTCTCGTCGCACAATCACACCCAAGTAATATATCATCATAAAATAAAAAGTCTAACGTAACAATATTTTCTTATTATGTAAATTATTATGGCAATATATTAAGTGAAAAACTAATAAATAAGAAATACTCTAAAAATTTTTTATATTTGTTTAAGAATAATTGTAAGGTAATTGCAGAATAGAACTTGTTTTATGACATGTAAGTCAGTTTGATTGTCGCTCTTTTCATGTATCTTATTAACACGCTAATTAATTAAAATTTGACTAAATTGTTTCTAAAATATGTTTATACATTTAATTCGTATACGTACATATTTATATAAATATCTATATTTCCTCTATGTATTTTAATATATATCTACGCTTTTAGTAATTAAAAGCGTATCTTCGACTTACGACGCCAATTTTCGAGTCATTTAAAAAAATAATTAAGCAAATAACAAGTATGCAAAAGTAGGAAATGAAATATGAGGCAAAAATATGGCGTCATAAGTAACAATTATCAGACAACGGCAGCGAAGAAATCTCCACGAACAGTAGTGCAATTCTATCTTATCTAAATCTCAGATCTAAGATAGTCTACGATCAACAGAGCTTTGGAATAGCTTTCACAACTTCTGACCAACGATATCTATCCAGAAAACATGGTTCGAACTTGTGGAACGTTTCCTAACGAGGAACGGCGATCGTTGAGCAATATTCATTCGTAGTATAAGAATAAAAATGGAACTCTTTATTTGGGTTTATCCGATGGTAGACCCTTTATGGCGAATGTACCGCGGAAGAACGGCTTGAAGATTTCTAACAACGTCTCCGTTCGACGGGCTGAGTTCTGAAAAAATGTAAGCATTCGTTAAAAATAACGGAGATTAGTAGTTTTGCTTCTGTCGAAAATACATAAATTGCTTTTTATTTTTTTTTCTTAACGGATGTAAATCTAGGAGGTGAGTGAAGGGCGATTCGAACATGCTAATCGATTAGGCTGTACTAGAAAAATATTTCATCATAATGACAGAAAAGAAGCCTATAATTAGACTTGCGCGTTAGCGGAAAGCAATCATTAACTAATCACTATATCCCCTATTAGTATGCGTTGCATTTAATGTATATGCATTGTACTTACTAGGATTACGCTGCTTAGCACTTTGCTAACGTTTGTTACTAGGGTGAAGCCAGTGCCGAATGCGCTTGACGGTATATCCAAGGCCACTCTATTCCTGTCGAACACGGGGGTATCCTCCGTAGTAATGCTTCTCTGCAAATACATACAATCAGATACTTTGCTGTTGCTTCATTGCATATGTCTTTACTTATTAGAATAGCGATAATAGAACATCACGTGGGAAAATGTAGGAGTGAAAGTACATATGAATTCCGTTTGTATAATTATATTTTTTTTATAATATTTTTATTTGTAGTTTTAATAAAAATAAAAAAGTACTCTTAAACGTGAATCACTAGTACTATAATTATGTACATATATATTTATTGTATTTACAATTTTATTCCATATTTATTCAGATATACGTGAAATAAAATTCTTTATAATTAGATAGCAATTATATATTTACATAAAAAAACTTTGTTTTTATAGAAAGATAATTATGTGAGCGATACTTCAAAGAGATGGCAATGAAAAGTATTCTCAACCTCAATTACGAGAAATCATTAATCATTAATCTCCAATCATTAAAAAAAATAGATTAAGAGATATTAGAATAAATGTACGTAAAGATAAATTCTACAGGTAGGATAATAAGGAATATGTGGGAAAGGATACATTAGAGAGGGACTGCATGATGATCTGTAACTCGCCGTATATGGTAGACAAAAATATAATTGTAAGTTTATTTGACATCAACATTATATCACACCATCATCACCGTCTTATATTAATTTCTTTTTACGTGTCATGGAGTATCTGAATGCATTATTTACATCGTTTTACACATATCAAATAGTCCACGAGTTCGTTCTCGTTCCTCTCGCTCTTAAATTATTTACAGCTTTCACGGCGGCGAATTGATTGACGCCGCTAGTTCTTCTACAATTTATATTAAACATAGCGTAGTCCACACGATTCGGCCGGGAGGGTTGATTCGTCAGGAGAGCGTTTCCTGGAGAATTTCGTTTTTTCCTCTTTCCTTTCATTTTTCGAATTCTTTAAATAGGGATTTTTTTATGAGAGAGAAGGGCTTCTAGAGTGTGAGAAAGGAGGTTCTGCCGATTTTCAGCCCAGCTAAAAACAGAAATTCACATTCCGTGTTACATGGAACGCCCACATATTCTCTCTTCCATTGAGAGTGAAATCCGCTAGACGTCCGTCCCATTTTCTCGTGGTGTGTTTAAACGTTCGTTCGTTGTCTGTCGCTTTTTTTTCCAAAGTGAGTTTCTTCTCGCAAACGTCGCCGGTCGCTGGTCCAGGGCCACTAAAGTCCGCAGTCAAACGTTCCCTTTCCGCATCCCATCGGCATCCCGTTTTATCCCGCCCGCCTTTAAGCCGCTTTAATACGCCGCTTGTGGTGGCGTATAATCGTACTGTTTGTGTACAATACTTGTGTTAATGGTATATACATATAAGATTGGAAGGCCTTGTTCTCGTGAAGGCGCTTTCCGAGGTTAAAAGGGAGTTATCTCGGCAGCATCGATTAGCCGGAGGTTCAATGAAGCGTGTCAACGGGATTAGCAAAGCAGGTTCTTTATTGTATTTAATTAGGTTACTTATAACTCTATAATTTCAAGGCACGGAGAAAGGTGTCAAAGCAAGTACAATGGCAGATTATAGAAACAGCATTCAGTGTTACAGTGTTGATTGTTATAAAAAAAATTGAAGTTCCACGAGGATTAGTAACTTTATTAAATGTATCACATTTTTCTAATAAAATGAAAAATTAGTAAGTAATGTGTATTGAGAAACAATTAATGGCCATAATTATGAAATGAATAGATAAATGTACAAAAGTCTTGATGAAAAAGCTTATAAAGAAGTAAAGAAATGCATTTTGACATGATGATGAATTCTAATTGAAATGTAAAGAAAATACTTAGAAACATGCGGTTACCAGGAATTTCTCTCCTTATCGTACAGCGCTGCAATTAACTGTTTATCATTGCAAATAGCGATAGCCTTACAACCAACGTCGCGTAACAGTCACCCTCGTCCGAGTTTGTTAAGTAAATACTGTTCACCGAACAATTTCTAGGAAAACCGTATTATTCGTCGTGTTATCCGTATATTTCGAGGTAGTACACCGGTTTCTTACGAAGACGCATATTCCAGCAGAGACAGCTTGCATTACGTATCAGACAGACAACAGGCAACATATATGGGAGTATAGAAAATTATAAAAAGTATTTAAAAAAGTATTAAAGAAGTATTTTAAAAAAGGAATTCACAGTTTAACAGAGATAAAGGCAAAATTAACTTATTGTGATCCTACCCCTGCTAGATTGCCGAAAGCTCCGAGATTGATCCCAGCGCCGGCGCTCACACCGCCCGCGCCGCCGTTAGTTCCGCTATGAGAATCGCTTCCAGGGCTACCACTGCTACCGCCGCTTAAACCGCCTAAGCCGCCGCTTAAACTGCCTAAACCGCCGCTACTTTGGCTCAGGCTCGATAAAGAGCCGATCTTCTGAGTCAGGAGATTGCCGATAAAGGCCGATCCAGAGGATCCTCCACTAGCGTCTCCATGTCCTACAGGCGAAACAGTCAAAAGTGACGTAAAACGGTGACGATAAAAATAAATGCTGTTTCAAAAAAGCGTATTTACATACATATATATCAATGATGAAATACTAATTGTTTTAAGTTTTACAAATAATTTATTTTCGTCAGAAATCTGATCCCCGAATATTCCTATTGGATTTAGAATGTCTTTTTTACCCATGAAAGATTTCTGCTTAAAAACTGATTGAAGAAACAAATTGGAAAGTTTCTCGCAATCCACGTACCTGCACCGCCGCCCGCACCGCCGGAAAGACCGCCGGAAAGCGAGCTTAATGGCGCGATTTTCCCAGCTAGAGCTTTCGAGATGCCAGCGGAGGCACCCGAGAAGAATGTCGTCGCACTGTTTATAATGGGCCCAATGCTACCCGTCGCAGCCTGAATCTTCTGATTTACTAATTTGCTGAGAAACTCCGATGTAGCCGAATGCTTGTTGTCGATTCCAAAAACAGCGTTTTTCGCTTTGTTAGATTCATCGAGAACTGAGAGTGCTTTTGTTTTCGAGTCTATGAAGGAATCCACTTTCTACAAAGACATACATTTGTTAAAGTAACAGTAATGATATTATGTATAAAAATTTTTTAAGTATAAATGTAGTAATAGTAAAAGCAAATGTATATTGAGTTTAGAAGAGATTTTGTTACAATTCGGTCTCAATTAAATGTGTGTGTACAATTACTAGTTATAGCCTTCACAAGATATTTTTTAGAATTTATATTATAACTATAATTTAGATTATATTATAACTTGCTGTATACAAGAACAGTAGAGATTTTGCGAAGAAAATTAGCTAATTATTCTTACGTCAAACACAAAGTTAATGATGCCGTTCGATACTCCAAGCTTGATGCCAATCTTTCTCTTGTCTCTATCGCCTCTTTCACCATCATCAGCTGCCGCCTCATCAGCTTCGACTACGAGAACCTATGTGGATCATAAAATTAAGCTTCTTTAAGACTGTCAATTAAAAGAGAGATAGTATAAATTAAGCAACAAATTAAAGCTAAAATTCATAATTAAGAGAGAAAAGAGATCGATGATGAAATGCGTTATTACAGAAAGAAGTTTTCTTCATACGGATTTTATGAAAATTACATTACGTCTTTATTTGTTAGTCAAATATTATCTATTTTGTTATAACATTATCAACCTGCACTATAATGTTTGCACGAAATATCTACAATATGTCTGGCAGAAAATGGAAAATTATTACAATTGCTTCGCGCGATATTTATGTAGTTTTCTAAAACTATAATTTCGTACGTGCATGCAACCCTGTTATGCAATATGCTGCTTTCGTTGGAAGAACGAGGTCGATATGTGTTATGTTATGGGTATTGCTCGAGCAGAATTACACCGCGGTTACATTAACGCGTGATCGTGAACAATGATAATGTTGCTTATTGACCGATGCGCGTATAACGACGTTTCGAAGGAATTTCGTTACATCCGTGCATCCGTTTCTAGCCGTGTTCGAACTCGTACAGGTAGCGCCGACTACTTTCACTCTTGACTCGTTCTCCGAGATCATGTTTCTCTCTCGTTCGTATATCCCTTGTCCTCTGTTTTCCTTTTCTCTCTCTTTTTCTCTCATTTACCGTTTAATGTATAGCGGAGTTTAGCTATAACGTAATACGTTCAGTTATCTTTCTTTAGTTAGTCTTCTTATCTTGGGATATCTTCCTTTAGTCTTCCTCTCGACTTACAACGACGAATAAATTTTCTTCTTTCATAATAACCTTGGTTACTTAATCCGTTCAGATTAAATATTACTGTATAAATATAAATTTATTTTCTAAAATTGAAGATAGTCCCTTGCTAAGAAGAAAAAAAAAAGAAAGTTGCGACATAAGATGAAGAGTATACTTTCCCCTGAATTAATCTACTAGATAAATATTTATATAAGCTATACGAGATTTGGCGCTGACCCAGATACACCTCTCGATTGCATACTTCCTAATCGGTTAACGAAGAATTATCAAATGGACAATTTTTGCGACAGCTGCTTTCACTTTCGTTGCTAAGCGTTAAACTTGTCTTTTTGTTTCTCCGGTAATGTGTTTCGAGGTGTTCACTAGGCCGAGTGAAGGTATAAGCACATTTAATCGATGCGTTGCGCTTTAGGAAGGAAAGGACGGACGCAAACGTCGCGTGATCGTCAAATTCGCGATAGATCGTCAAATTCTTGTTTACTTTACTCTTTCGGAGTCGCTCGTATCAAAAATTCGTTTACGCTTTCCGTGTCTCAACTTTTCAAGAACCTCTAACTAAGGACGCGCGTGATGGCACTGTAAAACTCCACTCTCGATATAAGAGATCGACAATAGCTCTCCGCAAGTACTTCAGCATTCAAATCACTTCATTAAAGCGAGGTGCGTGATTGCAGAGCTCTCCTTCCATTTCATTCTCTTTATACTTTCTAAACAATTCGTCCCTCCTGATAACTTTCTTGACACATACACGACTAGAAATCAGAAAACATTTAATATCTAAATGTGTAACACATGTTGTCGCTTCGGCACTTTAAACGTAGGAAAAAATAAATTAAAGAACTTACTTCGTTCAGCGGACTAAGGTCGTCTTCCGCTTCCTTCTTATCCTCGACAGGACTGCAATTGACAATGGCGACGGCCAAAAACAGTCCGCAGAATGCACATAACACTCGCATTGTGTCTTCTTCACGTGGTTGGTCTGTTGCGATTCAGTCTGCGTGAATAAAAAAGCTGTCTGACGAGGCGGCAGGATATTCCCGGTAGTAATAAAATCGAAAGTAAATGTTGAATGTTTGAAGTGAAAGGGTGCCTGAACGAACTTGGGAGCAATTAAAAATTAATTTTTAGCCAAACTGATCCAACTTTGTAAACAATCTATAATTAATGGTGATAAAAATTCCGTGCAATAAATTCAGTGAAATAAAAAAGAATTAAATGCGGACAAATCGTGTTATGTAAATGTGATTATGCAAATCGAATTTTCTATTTTCGATAAATATATTTTTAAAAAGTTTATTTAAAGCATAACAACGTTAAAGAAGATTTATCTTTTGCAATAATTGAGAAAAAAATTACAAGAGGTAAAGAACAATTTTTAATAAATTGGAATAAAGTCGAGATTTATAAAGGCGTTCGATAACAAGCAGCTGTCAATTAGCTAACTATTATACACTATTATAGATGTAAAAGAGTTGGCCAAATAATATGCCGCAATTTTAAATAACCAAGTGACTAGATTAGTAACAAGCAGCTCTCGACTTAACCGTCAAATTACAAGCATAAAATGATTGGCTGACTAATACGCTGTAATTTATAAGAACGGATAAGTGATTAGCTCGTATAACAATTGCTTAAGTACATAATAGAAGAGAGGAAATAATTGAAACAAGCATAGAAGAAAAAGAACTGTCACTTGACACGTGTTCAATTGTATGTCAACTTGTACAAATCAAACGGATTTTCTTTCTAGATAGAATAGGAAAATCAATGAGATCTTAGCGAACGTCAGTCACGTGGCGGTCAAAGCAGAACGTATGTGAAGGGATTGCGTGGTGGACTTACGAGCGTGCCGGTGCGGCGAGCGAGTGCGTACGAGCGAGCGAATGCGTGAGTTGTGTACCTGGCGGAGTGCGAGGCTCGTTTGAGGACCACGGTGAAGGAGGTCCCGATGTCTTACGGAGTCGAAGGGGAAACGAAGGCGAGCATGTGTGCCCCTTCGAGAATCGAGAATCGTACACCGCGCCGGCGAGCCTCGCCTCCCGCAGGTGGGGCGCCCTCCAATTCACTCCATTCGCGAAACCCGCTCAGCAGCCGACATCATCCAAAGCGCTCGCCAATGAAACACCCTTCTTCCACTTTTCTGTCGCGGTCGCTTAGTTATTATTTCAGCTTGCGAAGTATACTGAATTACGCAGCTCGTAAGCTCGGAAGATACCGATACTTGGTATTTAACGAAAGAAAAATCCTCGTCTCGAAAAAAAATCACTTTTTGACATAATCATTATGTAAACAGAATTATAGGATGTGCCAGTTTGAAAGTACCTCACTTTCGAACGTGTTTCTTTTGTTGTGTTAAAAGTAAACAATAATTTAGTGACCGATCCCAGCGTCACGCCTCGCGCGTAAGTAACAATAAAGTGTGAGAAATCAGAAATTACCATATTACTGCATGATTTCCCTGATTATCATCTTTCCCTAAAGTGATAAAAGAACTTTAAATATAAATATGAGAAAACTACATAATTTTTAGTATTGTTTAGCAGCATGCTATGTAAGTCAATAGAATGCATAATTCAGTAATATATTACTGTATATACACGTGTATACACGGTTTTAAGATTAATAACTTCAAAAAAAAGAAAACGACTAAAATCACCATTAATATTATAATTCCTACACAATTGTATGAATACAAGAACTTGCATGTGTAATATGCGTATTAGTGTTATTATTGCGTGATTTTAAAGCTTGATGATTTACGTTCAAACTTTCTCAAGCTATTTTGAAATTATCTCACACAAAATTGGAGAATTTAGTTTACGTAAGAAATAGTTTCTCCAAATTGGAACCATTTATCTTCGTTATTTTGCATGTTGCAAAAATACGACTGGCACGTCAAGTGCTATAAAACTACGAATAAAAGAGATGATGCATTACTTACGATATTTGCATCACGTCATAACGTTTAATAATTTGCCAACAAAAGTTGGGAAACTGGAACAATTACTTGAGGGAATCTCACCTCACTTTGTTAGTTTAACATCAAATTAATTATTTCTATCTTTACAATCGCTAATTATCGTTATACGCAGCTGTAGATTTCTTTGGTAATTATCGTGCTCACTGGTTTGCTCCTAAGAGTTAATCAAGATGAACTCTCCTTTCGCCTTGACCATAATCTAAAAGGTAGCGTTTTGATTTTAAACGCGCTTTGAAAAATGCAGCATGTAATAATTGATGAACATTAGTCATTGAACGCCTCCCGTGTTCGTTGCGGATATTTTCTCTTTTTAATCGCGAAAGAGAAATAGATAGAAGATATATAGATTCATTTATATTGCGTATATAATTCGCAATAATAATCTCTAAGCCAGTTGCCGCTTAATTGGAAGGAGCAAGAACTTTTAAATTAAACTCAATAAAACTCGTAGTTATATTATATTTAACCATTACATCGTTTTCGACACTCTAAACTTAATTGAAGGCTAATCAAATATAATTTCTTTGCGATATTTTCTGAGCGATATATAATGATTGACTTTATTTCTATGTCATATATATATATATATATATATATATATATATATATTTATTTATTGTATTGTATAATGTTGTTTGTGTGTGTAAATTTTAGACCGCACTTGAGAAGGGCTCGAACCTTGAGCCGAAACGCAGTTTTTACATTGTGCCAGTTAGTCGAGCAATAAAATAATATTCGGTTTTAATCACTGGCAGATGAAGTTATTTTTCTATATATAATAATTGAGTAACACAAAAAATCCAAGGTATCGGAATTCTATGCCCGAACACTTGTTAAAAAAAAAGCATCACGAAAAATTTGGAGATATGCGCCTTTAGAATGCACTTAGAATGCACTTAGGAGATTGCGTTTATATAACGCCGTGAGTTAAAACAGCTATAAACTATTCTATACACACAGGTTCTGCATCGATAACCGTTAATTGTTTTAGGCCAATTGCTCAATGGATTCCTTTCGTCGCTATTTAAGATCGCCATTTGTATGCTCTGCATGATGATGAAATCAGGTCTTCAAAAATGGACTAGAACAATGCAATTTCTCACAATTGAATGTCGTAATAATAATCTAGCTTTAAAATAAAGAATCGTAACTAAAAATTTATGTCAAATTAGTAACAATAATTACAATAAAATTGTTTATCCGATAAATACACGGATATCTCAGATACAATCCGTAGCGATTAAAAGAAAAATATTAAATCGCTCTTCAACTGGAATATTTTTCGGATAATCGAGCGTTCGAGAGTATCCGATTGAAATCAATTATTTTGTGATGTGCTACAGAGCTTTATCGGCGTGTAAGTAGTAAGACTATATTCTGTGGTCAGACTGTCCAGCCTGCACTCGTGAAGTGGCGCCACGCGGCGAACACGCGCCCAGACGGATACGGCATCTCAACCGCAACCGAAGAAACATCGAGTGACTTTCCAATGAAAGAGAGAGTAACGCACTTCGATAATCCTCCTCCTGCGGGAGGAAAGTAAAAAGAAGAGCAGAAAATCCCACGCTCACTCGGGGGCCATATTAAAGTCCGGCTTACGTAAAACCATCGCGCACGTGTCCGACTCATTCCCCAAAAAGTGGATCGAAATTATTTACATCGGCGCCTTTCCGGAAGCGCAATCGATGGACGTAACGATTGCCGATCCCTCGTTTTCTGAAATTTTATTTCTCGAATTTCTCTCGGAACTCACCGCGGCAGAAAAAATTCTACAAAAAAAAGGTTCAAACTAGGACAATTGCCGAGAGGTAAAAGGAGATAATAGCAGTATCCTTGTGTGCGCAATTTTTTTTTTCTACGCGTAATTAATACATATATCCTCGGATCTGTAAGATCCAGGATACAATTGTAATAGTATTAGATATACATGTTAAATATTGCATCGAACGGTTTAGTGGTGTCGCATACGAATAAGAAAAAAAAGGTAACTTACGCCATACGTAAACGCGCGCGTTCAACAACAATGTACATATATTTCAGCAGCAGTGTTAACATGTTGCAACCGTTTACATGTACATATACGCACATTTATTGACGTATTTAACATTTTGCGATCGTCTTCTGCGTTTTATTTTATTGCAGAAGAGTGCATAGTACAAATTTCAAGCTGTGTTTTAGGAATAGCTGTTCGGAGTTACGATTACGAGTTACGAAAAGACGAGAGTCCAAACGTGAACGTTGACTTTCGCGACGTCCCTCTTGTCACGTTTGTTAAGATTCTTCTTAATTAACGTTAAATTTACAATATTTAATGCGATAAATATGCGTATATATAAGAGGCGGCTAAATTTCACGTTTGATTACATTCGCCAAACCTGACTTTTTCTCGTCAAGCCGTAATTTATCTCACCATCAATGGCCGTGTAGATTTCTAATTTTCACTCATCTTATAAATTAATCAAAAGAATTTACATTTGCTTATCCAATCAGCCGATGAAAATAATTCCGCAATAAATTGAAATATATATAAAATAAAGTATGTGTCTTGCGAAATTGAATTTAAGTGAACGTCACAAAGATGGCATTAATGCAGATTTCATCAACGCCTGCTACGAAATAAGAACGTTCAGATTATACATATTTATTACTGAGTATATATTGTACGGTTTAATTAACTTCACAGTTTACTTTCCTTTCAATATAATTGTTTATTAATTCGTTTCGTTTTACGTCTGACTCGCAATTTCATCTACCTTCGTACGCCCACAGAGTCGCTTCCTTCTCGCAGGCAGCAATTTTCGATTCCCCGCCGAGCCCAAAACCGCAAGATACACTCGTGAAACTGTCGCAACGGTTCATCGGTGACGTGCACCGCTCGATGGTGTCACCTGCAATCGGCTCCGGGCGATCGATCACACACGTAACCGCGACCTTTGCCGCGAACACGTCCTCTCGATCATCGAACGCGATGCGAAGGTGGGCGAAGTGGGCGTCGTCGTGGGAGAGAAACTTCCGAAACGCGAAACGCCGCGAGGGCCGCTTGTTCGCGACGCGACGCGGCCGATTGATCGAAACTTTGATACGCGGCTGCCGACTATCCGGCGGAACGAAGGCGAGGAGCGGCCGCACGCGTTCGCCGTTCGCGAAGAAAGTTGCAACGGGGAAATTGGCCGCATGAAACGAACGCGTCACCGTGGCGACGACGCGAACGACGATGACGAAGGTGGGCGAGGAGATTTACGGCAAAGGCGATTTCCGCGTCGCGTGACGCGCGCGTGCGACAGACCTGTTACGCACATTGGTAGACCGATGATAGGATTGGATCAATTGGCTCATCAAGCGGAAGTAGATCTCGGCGCGAAGTGGTCATTTTATCCGGAATTTCCACAGGACAATCTTGTCCGTATCTCTGACGGTGACGTATGTTTGTTTCTTAGAAGCCATATGACGAGGCATATTACGCTCGGGGAATACTAAACGAAAGTATTTTATGGGAATTTTGTAGACGCTCACTCTCGAGTGAAATGTAGAGAAGAAAGTAGAAATGTGTTATGTAAAAATGTTATGCTCTTGAAGAGCGTGCTTATTACTCTATTCTACGAAGTGCTAATAAGATGATATAACGAGCAAATTATAATAAGTTGAATTATATCCTCGTGTTTACGCAATACTTTTACATTATGCAATTTTTTAACAATTAAACGTGTCACCTCATTTTTAAATCCCTCATTCCAGGAAACGGCTCTTCCTTTATCGTGGATAGATTGCTTTAAAATACATTAAACAGATACGCGCCATAATGAATGTAATAAATATCGCGGCATTTTACATGTAAAACAGCAATAATTTATTTCATGGGTTTTACGTAACAGCAGCAGCACGTGTTCGGGTCGTCCGTCCGTCCGTGCGTGCGTGAACGTTTGTTCGCGAGCGAGCGCTCGATGACGCGACGGCAGCCGTTGTTCAATCTCGGTCGTGCAACCCGAATAAATATCGTTCTTTACTTTCTCCGACGACCGGCTATGCCTACGAAACTTCCTCTACTGCCGTCGCCAGCCGTATCGGGCATGCACTGAGAAATTTATTGTAATGGACATGAAGTGTCTCGCGCAGTCCGCGCGCGCGAGAACGGGAGTAAAAGTCCATCGCATTTATCTTGCAAACGCGTCTGCCTTCGTTCTTCCGTCAGCTTCGACTTTCTCATTTTAAAGAAACTCGATCGATTACTCATTTTTGGCGGTTAATGACACAATAACGCATTGTTGCGATGATACATAAGTTTTGACATAATGGCGTAGATTAGATCTATTTTCATTAAATAATATACGGATACGCCGAGGAGAGAGAGTCCATGTCGCACGTTCTGCTCCGGAAGTTCATTTCATAACATACGTTTGAACAAGGCGCATTAAGGGAGGTGAGAGTGCATGACGGAGATTCAATCTCGACCATTTTCTACTTTGTGCAAGAAACGAGTGCAGTCAGCAGTAAAACAGATATGCAGCTAATAGCGATAAAAAGATAATAATCGAAATGCGCAATGCAGATAATAGCGCGCGGGGTTTCGATCAGATTTAGATCATCATGCTGTTGTGGAAATTTACTGAGATTTGCGTAATCTATAATACATGTGCAAAGATATATTACCTACCGTTTTGTAACTAAAGCGATAATTTTAACATATCTTCGACGCGCAACACGTCGGGTTCCGTGTATTATCGTAAATTAATACAGGGCGATTCAAAAAGTTATTATCAAACTTAAGGGGATGCTAAAGTGACTCAATTACCGACAATTACAGTCAAAGGTCTAATTTTGAAACGGCTTTATAGATCGCAAAATCCTTTTACAGGAGTAAAGTATAGGTACTAATGAAGGGTGGGAATGTAAAATAATTAGTAATAATTGAAAAAAATTAAAAATGTTGTTACCTCATTTTCTAATATAAACAGTTGTATAAGTAATATGTACGAAATGAAATGTTCCCACCCTTCAGAAGACGTGCACAAACAATAACGTACCTTTGAAATTGAGATTGAAAGCCTGGAATAAAAATGAGAGCTTCGAAGAAATTATAACCTATAACCATGTCTATCCTTGTCTATCATCATTATCTATACAAGGACAGATATAGAATTCGGTCGGCAATACAAACGTCTTTAGGATCCCCTTAAGGGGTCAAAATAGAACAACTTTCAATTAGAAACCTATGTTCTCCGAAGTAATCCTGAGTCAGTACAAGCCTTTGAATGTATGGAACTCAGATAATATGAAATAATCGTAATTTGTTACTCCTTCACTAGCTTTATTTTGTTCTTATTAAGGTTTTATTAAGAGTTACGTGAGATACCTGAGATATTTGAGAGAGTGCGCCAGAGTTTGTTCGACGATGCAATGCTTGAATATGAAGAGGTCGCCAATTAGAACACTTTTGTAAATTCAATTTGTGCTAGCGTAATCCTTAACAAAACCTTAATAAAAACAAAATAAAGCTAGTGCAAGAGAATAACAAATTACATTACATTCCATTACATTCAAATGCCTATACTAACTCAGGATTACTTCGAAGAACATATAGGTTCCTAATCAAAAGTTGTTCTATTTTGACTTCTCTATACGCTCCTTAAGTTTGGCATGCAGTAACCTTTTGAATCACTCTGTATAGAATAACAGTAGCAAATCAAAAAATATTATTACCGTAACGATCAATATAGATACATTATTACAAGGCAAGCATAATGTAAAGCCAATAATTTGAAGCTGATAAATTACAAAATATACAATATTTTGTAATTTAGAAAACGTGAACTGAAAAATGAAGAAAAGTAATAATTAGATTAGATTGACGGGTGCGAAATAAAGTATCGCTTGACCTACTACAGTTGCTACAATATTTATCCTTTAGTAATGAGAATATTTTATAAAAATATGAAGAAGCGTGCCGTTTTAACGCTAGGCCTTTATAAAACTACGATTTACATCTTCATCGTAGGTCATAAGGCACGTAAATCATATTATCCGCTTAGCTGTGTAATTACTCATGTATAACCGACATATATGATGCAAAGCGGATCGCGACGCGCTGCAAGATCCTCCGGTAATTATTGTCGTTTTAGCTGTGACAGTTGACACTGCCGAGTCAATCCCGCGTGGCGAAATCGCGCCACGTGATGCAATTACGCGCGCGAACGTACGTACCTACAGTGCATCTCGCAGCGGAATGCCCCGTCGCAACCTGCTGCATCTATTCACCTGTGTTTGTTCCAGTTCGTAGTTTCGCAAGCGCGGCTGGCCGTCCGTAACCCGTCGGATCGTTTCAATCGACGTGACGAGGTTTTTCGCCGATCGCTCAGCGAAGGTGTCGCGCGCCGCGCCAAGTGCCTCCGAGCCATTTGATCGCGAACGATTAAGTAAATAGAAATCGTCGGTCAAAGATGCAGATCAAAGATTTCTCGTTACAAAATTATTAATTAATTAATAATTTTTTAATTAGGGATTTTCGAAAAAGTGCGACAGGATTGCGCGTGTCTGAATTTAAACGTAGATCGATGACATATATCTCTGCTATCATCATTATTCTATGCGTAATCTTACATATACGTGATCCGTTTCTGATTATCGATGAATACACGGGACATTATCGAGATAGTTTTTTTTTCTACCTTTTTTATGCAGAATCTTGAAATTCTAGACCACGGTGATCTACTTAGGAGAGACTCTTGAGTAAGATCAGATGATCTCTTCGAGGCCTCGCGGCGTCGGAATGGAGGTCACGATCCTTGCATGATCTACTCTACATATTTACTCTCCAGGCGAATTGTGTACATTTCACAAGCCATAAATTCTCACAATGCAAATTAGCGTGATACTACAAATTGCACGATTAGAGGGAATAAATAAACTTATCGTGCTCATCAATCGTAACCAACAGATGGTTTTTTAGAATAATGGCGCTATTCAGCATTTATTTTTTGTATAATATAATGCAAGATATAATATGTTGCTATTCTACTTAATTGAGCGTTCAACGTGCTCGGCACATTATAATCATTTTAACGTTTCTCCAGAGCGGTAAACCGTGTTCTAGTTACGGCGAATTATTCAACTACGTGTGTCTATATCAGCACAAAAGCAGCACCAGGTTTTTATGGCCGAGAGGTAGGTAGTCGCTAGCATTAATCAGGCTTAGCCTGATCGCACGTCGTGTCAACGACCTCCAATGACGAAGATGAAAGTGGCTCCCGTTTTAATTTTATATATATACGCGAAACTACGGCGTGACGTAAGCTTAATCTTAACTCGATAGATATATGACCCAATTCTATTGACTGACGTTTATGCCTAATTATTTGCACTTACGAGAAGGAAATTGCATCGAAATGGAAACCACATGCGATTTCTTTTATGATTTATTACGTGATTGATTACACAATTAAAAATTAAAAATTGAAATAAAAATAAATTGAAATTAATGCAATATAATTAATGTACGTATATTCGCGGAGAAAACGGAATTTCTAAAATATTACGTTAAATATTTCGCCCAATTTAAATGAGAATTTTGTTAAAAATTTTTATTAAAATAATCGACAAAATAAAATCGGCTGTTGGATTGGGTATTGCGTAAGTATAAGTGAGAATACACGCGTCCGTATGCGACGCGACTAGGAATGTCTGCCAATCTTAGCAAAGCATCACGAGGGTCAACTAACGACCTCGAGTCTACAAAAAGTTTCACTTTCTTTGGCGATAGAAAGTGGCTGCGGCCTTCGATGTTATTTTGCGATCTTTAACCGACTGCTGGACGTCACGTTTAACATATTTTCGCGAACTGACAAAATTAAAATATTAGAAAATTACTTTATATTCTTATTTATGCTGTTCTCCTTCTTCCTCCATAACACATTTATTTCACATTTATTTAAATTACTTTCTTTCTTCTCCTTTTCTA